GTGGTGGACTGGACTGAGGCTGTAGGGGAGGAAGAGGCCTCATTGGGGCACACTACCATGTCATGTAGAGGCCCCAGCACCATTGAGGGCACACCCTAACACGCACACAGTGTCAACCACCCATGTCACAAGTTTTGTCTGCCAGGAGCCTGAGGTGCAGGGCCACAGAAGCCATAACCCCCAGGCACCTATCTCCTTGAAAGCTGGCAGGCTTCGTGGCCACAGCAGGGCCTAGCAGGTCTTCAGTTTTCACCCCCCTGTGCCCTAACAGACAGCTGCACAAGCACCCATGTCACTAGTGTTGCCTGTCAGCAGCCTGAGGTGCAGGGTCCCAGAACTCCCTGTGCCTATCTCCTTGAAACTTGTCAGGCTTTGTGGCCCCAGCAGAGGCCACCATCCCTTCAGTTTTCACCCCCTGTGCCTTAACACACACGCAATGTCACCCATGTCACAAGTTTTGCTTGTCAGCAGCTTGAGGTGCAGTCTCCTAGAAACCCCTGCACCTATCTCCTTGAAACTTGGCAGGCTTCATGCACTCAGAAGGAGGTACCATCCTTGCAAGTTTCATCTAAATCATCCAGAAAATGACAAATCTATAGGTATTTCATTGATTCCCCATTATACTCTATGGCCAAATCTCCAAATCTCTCCTAATCGGCACTGAATCTTCCAAAGCTGATTTGGCCAAATTGATTTGGAACAGCGATCCAAATCTCCAGATTGAATCACTGGCCTCTGAGTCAGCTGAATCCAAATTGAATAATTCCCTATTCGCACAGGCCTAGAATGAAGGTATTGCAACGCAATACCTCTCTTCTTTCTTTCTCACATTCCCTAATCAGTCAGCCGTCTCCTGCTATGACTTGCTGTCATGAGCCAAGTCATCATGCAGACTGAGGTCCATCAATGTCTAGTCCAGTGGTTCTCAACCAGGGTGCCATGAGACCCTTTCAAGGGCATTATGGCATTAACACCAGCACCACCACCACCACCAGGTGGATCTTCCCCATGTGTCTCTTGCACAGCCAGATCAGGAAAAGCCACAGCAAAAAAAAAGCAGATGCATTAGGGTTATCTGATAAACCAGAAGGGTAGGAGTGCCCAGTCCTGCTACAGTTCTTCCTTGTCTGACCCCGCATGTTGTCTCCTGGAAATAGAGGTGTGTGATACAGGTAGCATGGGGGTGACAGATCAGAAAAGGCTATGGCAAGAGTGGGTTCTCCTGCCTGCTTTAGGCTTTTCAGATAACCATAATGCAGGAAGAAGCATCCACTAGTGCTGTAGCCCTTTCCAGGGCAAGTTCAGTTGTCCATGGTGGCAGCAGCAACCAGGTGAGACCCAATGAAGTAAGCTGAGGCAGCACAGCAGTAGTTCTCAACCAGAGTTCTGTCAAATTAATAAATGTTACAGAGCAGTGCCCTGAATTTAAAAATCACTGATCTAGTCCATGTAATTGGTCTTTAGCTTCTCCTTTGATCACCTTTCTTCTTTTGTCATAAACACTCTTCTTTACAGAAGCCTGTGAGGCTGCCAAAGTTGCCTGTAAGAAAAGTAGTTCCAGTCCTGCTAGCAAGGCCATCATGGCCTCCACCAGGAGTGTCAGCCTTTGTATTTGTATTTATCAGGAGTATTAAAGTTGCAACCTTTGGAAGCCAATTTTAAACACTAAATAACTGGAACTGGGCCACACTGGTATCTGCTGTAATCATACATTTTTTATGATAACCATCTAGAGGCCATATGCCATTTCCAAGCACATTTTATAACAATAAATACTGTTCTTGTTTGTAATATCCTTTTAAAAGACTGAAAATAGCCTGTTAGTCCTTTAATAGTTTCTGTTTAGCAAACCCTGACATATTATTCTGTGTGTTCAATGAAGCTAAAATTAGTGACTTTCTCATCTCCCACCAAAGATGGTTACACATTTCTGGGCTGTTTGTTAATTTGACCTCCTGATGACTAGCTCAGGGGTGGGCAACTATTTCAGCTGATGGGACACTTAATGAGTTTTATGAGCTGTAGAGGTCCACACACACACAATCTTTCAGAAAATATGCCTGTGCACTAGGTTCTGGAAGTCAGCCGGGGCTGGGGGGATGGAGGGAAGGCCAGGGAAGAAAGAGGTGTGTGCAGCCATAGGCGACTGGTAGGGGGTACACGGGCGTGCATGTGCCCCCTCAATGGCCGACACCAATGCTGTCAGCAGGGCTGGTGCCCCGCCCCCAACAGGGTCACCACAATTGCTGGCTTCTGTGGCTGCCAACCTGATCATCACTAAAAATGAAAAGGACCTCAGGGTAATAATAGACCACAGTATGAACATGAGCTGGCAGTGCAACGCTGTAGCCAGCAGGGCAAATTATAGGTCTGTGCGACATTACGGCAGCCGTTTCATTTCAAAGATGTTTCAGCCCATTTCGGCACCCAAAAACACCAAAATGAAACCATCCAAAACTTTTTGGAATTTTTTCAGAGGCGCATTCTGGAAATAGTCCAGCACAACCCTGCAGCCCTCCTTTTAAAATGCTGAGAGGTTGGGCCAGGCAGGGGATGGGGCCGGGCCAGGCAAGGCAGCCATGGGGACTTCTCCCATGGCACACCGGGGCAGAAGCAGAGCCCTTGCATGCAGCTGGCCCCACCTCCCGCCCGGACCTAGCCTCCCAGCACTTTAAAAATAAATAAATAAATAAAAGGCCCTGCACTCACTGGCTGCAGCAGCAGTGATCAGGGCCTCTGAGGGCTCATGGCAGAGCCTCTGCACACAGCGCAGAGCAGTGGGGGGCAGCGGGGATTGCCCCCCCTTGCTTGGCACCCGCATGGCAGCTGTCATATTGCACAGGTGCAGTGCAGCTCGGCAGGGTGCTGCACACTGTCTGGGAGCTGCAGCTGAGTAGTTCCAGGCTCTGGCTGACAGGTGGAGCTGCCCTAGCTTCCAGACAGTGTGCAGCACCCTGCCAAGCCATGCTGTACCTGCACGATGCAACAGCTGCTGCGTGGGTGCCAAACGGGGGGGGGGCATCCCTGCTGCCACCCATTCCCCTGCGCTGCATGCAGGAGCTCTGCCACAAGCCCTCAGAGGCCTTGATCACTGCTTCTGAAGCCAGTAAATGCAGGACTTCTTAATTTTTTAAGTTCCAGTAGCCTGGGGGTGGAGCCAGGCAGGGCAGCCATGGGGGCTTCTCCACAGCTTCTCTGACTGTGCCTGCCTCTCCCTGGGTGGGGGGAGCCACTGAAGAAGCCCCCATGGCTTCCCTGATTGGGCCCATCCCCTGCCCAGCCTAAGCCTCCCAGCACTTTAAAAAAAAAGAAAAAGCCTCGCACTCACTGGCTATAGCAGTGGCAATCAGGGCCTCTAGGAGCTCATGGCAGATCCCCCCATGCAGCATGGGGCAGTGGGGGCAGCAGGGGGCAGTGGGGATCATCCCCCGCTTGGCACCCGCGCAGCAGCTGTCGCATCACACGGGAGCAGCACAGCTTGGCAGGGTGCTGTGCACTGTCTGGGAGCTGGGGTAGCCCCACCTGTCAGCCAGAGCCCAGTACCGCTCAGCCTCAGCAGCCGCAGGTCCCAGACAGCACTCAGTGCTGCCCCCACACCAGGGGGCAGCTGCTGTGCAGGTGCCAGGCAGGGGGGGCAATCCCCACTGCCCCCCCCACTGCCCCACACTGCATGGGGGGCTCTGCCATGAGCTGTCAGAGGCTCTGACTGCTGCTGCTGCAGCCGGTGAGTGCGGGGCTTTTTTTTTTTTTAAGTACCAAGAGGCTAGGGCCGGACAGGGGATGGGGCTGGGCAGGGAAGCCATGGGGACTTCTCCCATGGCTACCCCTCCCTGGGGAGAGGCAAGCATAGCTGGAGGAGCCACAGAAGGATCTGCAGCCACCTAGCTGTGCTTGCCTCTCTCCAGCCGATCCAAATCTCTGAATCAGCACCGAAATAGCATCAAAACTGCAAAACAGATTCAGCCAAACTGAAACAGAACAGTAATCCAAAACACCGAAATGAATCACTGTCCACCAAACCAGCCGAATCCAAAACTGAAACAAAACATAGCCGTTTCGCACAGCCCTAGCAAATAATACTCTAGTGTGTATCAATCGATGCATCTCCAGCAAAACCAAGGAAGTGATTCTTCCACTCTACTCGGTACGGGTGGGACCACAGATGGAGTACTGCATCCAGTTCTGGGCGCCACACTTCAACAAGGACATGAAAAAGCTTAAGAGAGTCCAGAGAAGGGCCACCCATTTGATCAGAAACTTGCACAGCAAGCCATACAATGTAAAGCTGAGGGACCTGGACTGTTCAGTCTGAAGGAGAGAATGCTGAAAGGGGACTTAGTAGCAGCTTACCACTACATCTGGGGCATACATCAAGTGCTTGGTGAACAACTGTTCACCAGGGCACCCTTGGGGGAAACCAGGAGCAATGGTCACAAACTCCTGGAAGACCGTTTCAGGCTCAACATTAAGAAAAACTTCTTCACAGCCAGCGTATTCAGATGGTGGAATAAGCTCCCACAAGAGATGGTGCAGTCGCCTACCCTGGAGATCAAGAGAAAACTGGATGGTCACTTTGCTGGACTCACTTGAATGCAGTTGTCTTCCCTGCTTGGTGCAGGGCGATGGACGCAATGATTTTCCAAGGTCCCTTCCAGCCCTACAATCTATGAATTTATGAATCTCTGCTTTTGGAACATGTCTACCAGAGGCGGAGGAAGAGCCTGAAGGAGTGATAGTGCGGTTCAGGTCCGTGCTCCAAGGATAGTTCATGTTAAGAGAATAAGTTCATAGCCTGCATTATCATGCATGTGTCCTCCAATAGCAATACAGTAATATCACATAAAACAAAAATTTCATTACAAAATTCTTCACAACTTCATGTCAGAGAATAAGCAGAAATGGAGAATAACCAAGTCCAAACAAAACTTCCCAAGGAATCCTGACTTTAATTAAGAGCTGTTAATGTTTATTCAGTGAAATAAAACTGGTAAAATACTTACTTTTGCTTGCAAACACAGCCAAGGCTAGTTTCCTCCATCAGGGCACTCTGTGGATGAGTTGTAGCTCTGCTAAAATATGCTGTTTCTCTTTAATTGCTTCCTGATTTATATAAATATAGCTTCACGTAATCTGTAGCATGTCATACTATTGGACTACATTAATCTAAATTTGTTTTGCTAGGCAGCATCCCCAGAGCAGGTTTCACAAGAACGGTTTGAATCATCACAGTTACTAACTTCACACTGCCTGGAAAAGTTAAGGCTTGGGTTGGGTATAGCAGTAATCACGTCATTCCTCCAACCACATAAAAGAGGCAAAAGGAGGCTGAGATGATGGTAAAACTCTAATTTGTCTGAATGTCGTACGATCTATAAGACATATCATTCATGGCTGAAAAATCAAATTATGTTTACGGTCTAATTCACTCACCACACGATACCCTTACTAAGTACAACTTCTCTCTGGAGTCAAGAAAAAACTATCAATTCCTGGGTTAAAGAAAAGCTGGCTTAGTGTTTATATTTGGGTTGTCAGGGTAGGTAGAGCTTGAATCTGAATGGATTTACACTGAAGCAACTAAGAATAATTATTCCATACTGTCAATGGAATGACACCATGATCAGAATCAGGACTAACAGGATACTTTTGTTGAAAGTTGTCCTCTAGACAGATGTAGGCTGATTTTCCTCTATGTCTGTACAGATGAGGGAGCAGTGAAAGAGACAATCAAATTTAACCTTATGAACATACTAAATGTTTTTCAAACACCATAAAGTGTTGGTATTAACCTCTCCTTTATTGCAATGAATACCCAACTTATAATCAAACCAAGGGATAGTTGTCTGTGATGGAAGAAAATACTGAAAAAAAACTTTTGTATGCAAGCTATAAACAGAGGGTCCCCTGACAGCATTTAACCTGGGACTATTTAAATTATGGTCTCCTTATAGTAATGGGGCTTTTAATAATATAATGCTAGTTCCCCCTCTCCCTCCAAAATTATTAAAAGTGTAGAAAGAATGAAAGCAATCTAGAATCAATGTGTCCTTGGAAAACTATGATTCTCCCTAAAGCACTTAAAAGGTGAAAAGAATCCCAGCCATAAATCTGCATTACCATCTGATAGAAGGAAAGCTTTCTTGTAGCATTTATATTTAAATATTTTTATTAAGGACTTGAGTAGAAATATGTTACAGATACAGAGCAAGTAATGGAGAAAGAGTCTTTGAAGTTTCTGAAATTAAAATGATGAAACTTATAATAAACTCAACTGTAAACATGATCTTGTTTTTGCCAGGATCTCTCAGTAGCTCCTCATTTTCTTCTTCTGTATATAAGATACTGGGTTCTTTTATGTCCATATAGGGAGTGGGGAAATCACGTGTCAGCTGCAAGAGTACAAATTACCAGCAGGAGATAAATCTTTCTCAACATCTTGCACTGGCATTGTGAAACTCATTCCCGCAGGAGATATGGCAGAAACCTTTGCTTCTGTGGAGTAAAAGGAAACACCCACTTTCTCCAGTCTTCACACCATAATGGCAGTCATGTTTCAATAAAAAGAGGGAGGAAGGAATATGAATTTCTATTGTAAATCAGGACCAGGGACTCACCTACTCCGGGGGCTTTCAGAGGAAGATGCAAGTAATGACAGTGAACAATTATGAAAGAATATGATTTTTTTTTCCTTCTTCGACCTTAATCCTAAAATACCCTGTCTAATGTAACTGGGGATATTCATGCTACCCACGTGAATGTTGTGCCATTTTCTGGAGAGATGTTTTAGCAGTAACTTGTGGCAATGAGTTTCACTAATTACTCGTGCACTTATTTAACTTCAAACGCACTCTCTCACAACCTTAACAAATGTCATTTTGTTCTTTCGTTATAAGAGGATGAATAGGAATGCTGGATTTTTCATTCTCCAAGCTGCTCATTACTTCTGTGTATGTTTAGCCCCATTCCTTCACAGAGGTACACTCCTTCCAGCTGCTCAGTGCAAAGCAGATCTCAGTGCCTGGCTTGGCACTCATTTGAAGTTAGTGTGGAGAAACAGGTCTGACAGCTTGGAGGAGCTTGCAGTATCAGATGTTTATTCATCTTCTCTGATCTAAATATCCGCAGGGTGTCCTCATACAGAAGACTCTCCAGGTCTTTGATCATTTTCATTGCCTATCTCTGAACCCTTTCTTTTACTTCTTCACCTCGTTTGAAGTATGGTAACCATAACCATTTCTCTGTGAAGTTCCTCATAATTTTCTCAGGTTTAAGCATCCTCTGTAATTTAGTGACCTCTGCCATTTCTCTGCTTACCTGTTTTTTTCCAGTTACTCAGTAGATGTATTAAGTACCAATCCTAGCATGGTACTATATTGTCATGTTGAAAACTGACCATCTGTCCCCAGACTTTGTTTCTATCGCTTATCAAGCTCCTGATATATGTACTTAACTTCTTACATCTACTTAATTTGGTTAAGAGCCCATTGGGAGAGGAGCCTTGTTGAGTCCAAATAAACTGCATCATTTCATTCTCCTTTATCCACAACTTAATTTGGGCATGCTTAAAGAATTCTAGAGGATCAAAAGTGCATGCTTTTTGTTTAAAGATACTTTATAGTTGTATACAATTACATAATGATACTTTTCCTGTTTTCAGCCATTGATTGTAAATTAGTTGAAGTACCAATTAGAAAATACTCCATTGGCAATAAATCTGCAAATTCCTAGGTTTGCTCTGGCTCTTTTTCAGAATGTGGCAATCTCCACTCCTTTGCATCAAGTGGTAATCTGCACTCCTTTGGATTAAGGCATTGCATGTGCAATAGCTGATTATAATAGATTACACATCTTTGATGACAGCTCAATTTCTTTTTCATAAAATTCTTTAGAACATTTGCACAGTTGCTGTTTGATCCTGAGATTCAACCAAGACTCCTTTTTCCCTTAATTTATTAAACTGATCAAACAAACCACTCTTTAAATAACATAATCTTTGTCATTTCTTCCCCTATATGACCTGAAAAAACTAGGTATATGTCCAGTATTCTTTCTGATGATGTTATTTAGCTTCTCTGAAATATCTTTATCATTCTTAATTGTTCCCTTTCAAACCAGTAGTCTTGCAAAGCTAGGAGAAAGAAGCATAGTCCCTTCAGCCTAGAAAAGAAAGAGAAAATGAGGATTAAGCCTTACATTGTAAACACCCATAAGATGGTTGCATGTCTGGGAGAGATTCACCATTAGAAATGGCACCGAATTCTCATTAACTTGATTTTCTAAGGCACTAAATCAGGTTAAAAGCCTTAACTCTCATTGAAATAAATGGGATTTTGGTCTTTACCCTGCCTAAGCATGTTTGAAAATCATAGTATGCCTTGAGCTACATCTAGTAATAATGTCTTTGAAAGCACACTTCTATAGCCCATCCCGTTGGCTAGGAGAATCAGATTCTCAGTGGAGATGCACATGCCCCCAAATGCAGAGCAATCAAGGGGTAGAATGCTGTATACTAGTGCCCAGATGGACTGATACACAACTAAAAGTAACTATTAACGTTTCCCGGAGACATGACCCACTAAATCCAGGACTTTAAAATCCTGGAAAGCAGTATTAAGGGAAAGTGCGTTGCATTCCTTGATACTTTCCAGTTGTCAACAAGACTGAGGATGATACACTCCAGCATCTTAGATTCATAACTTCATAGATGCTAGGGTCGGAAGGGACCTCAACAGAACATTGGGTCTGACCCCTGCCTAGGCAGGAAAGAGCTCTGTGGTCAGATGGCTGCAGCCAGATGCCTATCTAGCCTCCTCTTAACAGCCCCCAAGGTAGGGGAGAGCACCACCTCCCTTGGACGCCCATTCCAAATTTTGCCCACACTTACCATGAAGAAAGGAAGAATAGGAAGACCCTGGGACATGCTGCTGCATTAAGGTGGTGGTGGGTCCTTCACTGGGGGTTGTGAAGGAGAGACTGGAGGGGCGTCTATGAGGAAAGGGTTGGGAACAGTGACATGTGTGTCCATGCAGGGTCTGCATGAGATGACCCTGGATACATGTCCAACCTGCCAGCTGTAGAGCACGGAGGTTAGATGTTCACCCCAGTGACAGTGCCTTGTGGGGTGGCTTTGAACCCGCCTCCAGCGGGGGGGCAGGCAGCAGCGTAGCGTGGTGAGCAGTGGCATGGAGCTGCAGGGGTTAATGCATCCCTTGCCCCTGCTGCCGAACTGCGACCCTGTAACCTGGATTTCAGCGGGGGGTCCTGCTCCTGCTCCCCTCGCCCCCCAAATCCCAGCCGCTCTGGCAGCCCTGCAGGCCTGATGGCACAGCTCAGCTCAGCGCCAAGGGGAGCCCTGAGGGCTGGGACTGGGCAGTAGGCATGGGAGTGATGTGGTGCCCGGGCACCGAGATGCAATGTGGGGGGCGCGATCTCATGGCCTGGCACCAAGGGACCCGGCCCACTTTTCTAACCTGTCCAGGTCTGCCTGCAATTGTTCCCTACCCTCCGGAGTGTGCACTTCACCCCGCAATTTAGTATTGTCCGCAAACTTGGACAGAGTACACTTCACACCCACATCCAACTCACTGATGAAGATGTTGAAGAGTACAGGTCCAAGAACCGAACCCTGCAGGACCCCACTACCCACATCTTTCCAGGTCGATACCGACCCATCTACTACCACTCTCTGGGTGCAACCACTAAGCCAATTTGCCACCCATCGGATCATGTAAACATCTATGTCACAGCCTCTTAATTTATTTATGAGAATGGGGTGAGATACCATATCGAAGGCCTTGCTAAAATCCAAGAAAATGACATCCACCTCTACTCCTGTGTCTAAGCATTTTGTGGTCCTGTCATAAAACAAAACCAGATTTGTCAGGCATGATGTACGTGCTACGAATCTATGCTGGTTTCCCTGCTGCATTATTTTTTCCTGCTGGACTCCCACAAATATGATCCTTCATAATCTTTTCAAAGACCTTTCCAAGGAGGGAAGTGAGACTGACTGGCCTATAATTACTCAGATCCTCCTTCCTCCCCTTCTTGAAAATAGGGACCACATTGGCCCTT